TAGGTGGTTGGTTGGTTGGTTGGGTAGGTGGTCGGTTGGTCTGTTATTATAAGCTGCCCAGTTTATGGTGCTTTGCGACAGCAATGCAGCCCTCAAACTCAGGCGTGTGGAATGGACCTTCTTGGGCAGATGGGCCCTTCTAGGGCGTGTGCTACGGCCCTTGCTGAGAGCCAACAGTGGCCACCGTCAGGGTTGAAGATGCTGGCTTCCAGGGAATTTCAGGAATCAGGGTCAGGGGCCCCTTGGGGGCACGTCCACTCTCCAGAATCTCTGGCTGGCCCCTAAGGTTGGGGATCCTGGCTTCTGGGTGAGGTGCATGATGGTTGGGAGGTCCAGCGATGCACCATCATTGATTCTCCCAGGCTGGCAGCATCACACACAAAAGGGTCCAGTGAGGCACAGGTGGGGGCTGGACCGTCTTTAGAATGGGTTCAAGGTCAGCTAGGAAAGGAAGTGAAGAGGAGGGTGCCCAGAGGGACTGAGAGACTAGGAGAAAGGTGGGGGTGATGGAGTGTGGGGAAATAACACTGAGGGATATATGATGAGGACTATATTCCCTAACTTATTACAGAGGGAATCTGGAAGACTAGTATTCCATGATAGGAAAGCCTCTATTTTGGTAAGTTAGAGGTAAAATCCAAGTACATTGTCCTGCTTTAAAAATCATACCCACAGATTCTCCCCTGAGCAACCATGCTGTCTTACAGTGAGCACCTGGTTGATTTTATCTGCCTAGGGAAGCAGCCATCCTTCAGCTCTCTCTTCCCGCCATGATGCCCAACCCCCCTTGTAACGTCCCCTAAGCAGGTCTTAGGTTTCCTCGCTTGTGAGCTCAGGGACCTTCATGTAGACACCACCCACCTTGTGACACATGTAACTACTGAATGTGCCTGTCTTACGGACGGCTACCTATAAATGTCCCAAGAGAGTAAAGGCTCTCTTACTTTTCCCAGTTCCGCGTGGTTCATCAAGAGGGCCTGAGGTGAGCTTGCTACCATAAAA